TTCACAATTTTGGTAAAGCACCTTAAGACCCTTCCATCTATGAAGAGTATTTGATTCTACCATATCTGGGTCTTGAGAAGAAGATTTTTGAAATTTTAGTCAATTTGACCCTTTTTGGCCCCGCCCCTCAGGCCCCTGGGGGCCGGGGACCAAACCGGCAACCATTTTTGTTGACCTTTGGCCATGGAAGCTTTCTGCAAAATTTCATTGAAATTGGTTCAGGGGTTTTGGAGAAGAAGTCGAAAATGTAAATTGTTTACGGACGCACGACGGACGACGGACGACGGACAAAAGGAGATCGCAATAGGTCACTTGAGACTTTGTCTCAGGTGACCTAAAAAATGGTTTAACTGTAATATTTCTTTTTTTTTCAGATTGATTACATTTTTTTTGAAAATAATAAAACAATTGTAGCTTTTAACTTCTGTCAATATCTGAATTTATCGCCCGAGAAAAGATATATTGACCGAGGACGCATTTTCCAGACAAGGTTATATCAAAATCTCATGCTGCCATAACGTGGATTTTGCAAAGTAAAAAGCCCGAACAAGTATATATATATTTCCTATGACAGAGTGGGAAAGTCAACGATGATATAGAAAACCAAAAATCTAGGTCAGATCAAGGCAAGATCCAAGGTCAAGAGGCGAATCCCTATGTCCATTTAAATGTCAGATATAGAGTACGTAAATCTACTGGAAGAAGTCACGATTCCGTGTATGATGATGAATATATGTTCAGATCACTAGAACGCAGGAGGAATTATGTGGCGGGTATTCTATTTTCTTCCAAAATGGTTCAAGTGTGTCATGAAATACTCTTACAGTAAATTGGTATTATTTGCACGAGAATAAATTACTAATGGGGACGGGGGTGGGGGTTGGATTGTTTTCTGAAGAGATGTTTGCTCGGGAATGAGACGCAGCCTGTTTATTATAATAGTTGTCTACCTTGGTTTGAATCTTTAATTGTTGAAATGCCACCGGCTACGTAATTGTAGTCTCGTTCAACCAGACTCTTGTTGTCTGCGCAAACGTCAAAGTGATCAAGCGTATGATTGAACGAGAGTACCGTAATCGGGAATCGTCGGTAATTTTCATAAACGAGAAAATTCTCATTTACGGAGATAACCGACGGTTCCCGATTGCCGCCAACGCTCACTGAGGTTGTCTCCCTTGTTTTGGAGAGGTATTTGTCAAAAATTGACTGAGAAGGGCGATTTCTTTGGTTCGAAGAATCACCAGATCTGTCTGATTAATTGAATACATCTTTGGATAAGTGGTAGAGAATGAATGGGTTTTGTTATAAATATGTCAATAAATATGCTATATTTATAGCTGTAGTTCGCCATTTCACATTTGCTGAGAGACGGTAAAGCTGTGTCGGAGGGAATAATAAGGTTGGAAAAAAACCTGGAAGGAGAATGTGAGAAAGAGACAAGATGAGAATAAAGCTGATTCAATAACAAGTGAGAACGTGTTGGCTGGAGTGAGTTAAGGGAGAGAAAGTGTTGAAGGTTTGGCGTGGGAAGAGGACAATACATATTAGGGAAAGAGATTGTAAACTAGACTAGTTTGCATATTAATATAATATATACTTTCAACATAGTTCAAACGTCATGCTCCAGTTCAATAAGAATTCTACTAATGGTAAGTATTTTAATAATAAAAATGTCTATTTCAATTTTGTTTTGAACGAAATCAGCGAGGTATGGATGTCAAACAGATTAAAATAGGTCACGTGTAGAAAAAATCGTCATGTGGAGAACTTGGAAGGGCTCCAGGGTGAATGACATTTTGAATAATATTACATTTTCGTTTAGGTAAATTAACCAACATACACTGGGCCGGGTATCAAAAAGCCTGCGTCACCTCAACACAGCTGACAGGCCTACACATTGATGTCGGTATAGTTAACTGTATAATTTAAAAAAGTAATGTCATTTATTTAAACAAACTTTTATAGTTTCATCCAAGCATGATTCTTGGTAGGTATTATCACTCTAGGCATTTTGGTTGTTTGAAAAAAAGTAATTTTGAGAGAGAGTAAAAATACAGTTGACACAGGACAGACGAGGGACGGCGCATCACGTCATTAGCTCATTTCGCCCGGACGGGCCAGGTGAGCAAAAACTAAGAAAAACACGACACTGATAAAAGTATCAACTTTGTAATGTTTAATTAAGAAAGCAACATAAATTTATCTACGATAATAAAAACATATTTTTATAAAACAATGGCATCTATAATTGTACATACAGAGAGTCATACAATCTGTAAATTGCAACAAGTCACGTGATATTGTGCATACAGACACGTGCATTATCCGTGCTTAAGTGTCTTAACCTCTACCTGTCATCTTTACAATGCCGCTAGCTGGTCCCTCGTGATCAGAACATATGACATCATTTAGCATTTACTATTTAAATATCTAAGAATGTGTCTATGAGAACGTAACACAGGGGCGGTATACATTATTTATACCAGTGAGGAATGAAGGTTTTCTAAAGGCATGTAAAAGACGTTCGACTTAACGTCAAGTTTACGGTAAAAGAAGAGGGTTAGGGTTTAAGTCCCTTGCCTCCAACCTTCTAAAGTCCGTCACTGGTACAATCTAAGTCCATGACCAAAAGGACTTAAGAATGAATCAAAATAGTATGTTTGGCCCTTTCCTAGCGTGTTAGAGGTAGTATTAACACTCGATACAAATGTCCCTATAACGACTTATATAACTCTCTTTGTCAGCAGTACAGGTCTAATTATGCATACTGTAATTGATTATCATGTCCCTGTGCCCACGACCATTATACTAATGTTTTGTTATTTGCCTTCGAGTTACTTTGTAACTATAAATGAGCAATACAATTATTGAATATTATTGAATTTATCTGGTCCCTGTGTTGTATACTGCTCTGTCTACAGTCTATGGAGGCACGGAACAAATCTAAGGCTCTTTAAGAGACCAACTATATAATCAAATAACATAAAGTTAACCACTCGACCATGTTTTCTCTGTTGCTATCAAAGGCAGTTGGTATAAACCCGTAAGCCGTGAAATATATACGCGTGTTCTAAGGGAGATAACTCCCACTTATTATAAAAAATGACTAACAAAACAAACAACTCAATTCAGGTCAATCGGTAAACGTCGGCACTTTCCGTAAACGAGAAAAAAATGGGTTTTTTTACGGAAAGTGCCGCCGGTTTCTGATTGCATTCAGATTTGACCACCCACCGATTAACAGAGTTTTTTTGTACAACGTGTCAAATTATATATGTAACAAAATCAACTCATATGACAGGCGGGTAATATGAGTCAATGTCACCTGCATAACAAAAACTAACAAAATGAAAGGTTTTAGCATTCAAAGCGTGATAAGTAAAACAAAGAAATTAAAATAATCAAATGAGATTCTTGAAATTAAAAAAATTATATATATAAAATCAAGATGTTGAAGTTTTATTAATGTCTGTGTACAAAAAAGATATGAAATGCATTTTAATATATTTTAAAACTGAACACATCAGGCTATATATAGCAACTGCGCACCTACTCTGTTTTCATTTTAAAATAGTTTATTAGCAACACTACTCTCCAGTTATGAAAAGTTGAAACAACATTGCAGGGAAATATATTCATACATCAACATAAAATATCTGCAAGCTGTAAAGACACTCTGCTCAGATTGTAGTTAGCTGATGGTTAAAAGTTGAGAAATACAACTGATTTTTAATCGAAATATTAATATTAATGAATAGGGTCAAATGGACATGGGACTATACAAAAAGCGTAAAAAAAAACAACGGCTATTCTAATGATGTTATTTGTTGTTATTATCTCTTCTTCATAAAGAATCCACACCGTGTTTACATAAGCAGACCAAAATGACTTATCGCGTTGACATTTGTGTTGTTATCCCCATGGGGCGACTGCATTTATTTTCAGGTATGCCCACCTGCTCATTGCTCATGTGTATGAGTACATTGTACACTTACTAGCTCTTCCTGACTATTTCACCTCTAACTTGGCTAATCACCGTATTTAAAAAATACATCTACTGAATTATGGAATATTAATTAACCCTTAATGAGTATGGTAATCAGAGGTCAACGCGAAAGGTCATTGTGGTGTGTGGTATACTAAATATACAGTGTACATACAGCACATATAACATGGGTTATCATTTAACTCATTCACCATTGAAGACACATTTGAACTCTTCCAATTCAAAGATTGGAAAAGTTCATTAGGAAATATCAGGGGTGAATGAGTTAAGGATCCCTGTCCCACTGCAGACAAAACAATCATTACAGAATTCCATTGTAGTATTTCGTGCTTAGAGTAACCTCCCCTTAATTTCATTTTGGATGTAAAGTTATACCATGAAACAGTTAGATCGGTTTGTCGGAGAGACGGTTTAATTTTCGCAGGTCCGGGGATCGAATCCTGGCCAGGAACTCAATACATTTTTACAATCGGAGAACTGATGTAGATTAATTGTTTATTAATTTGTCCTATCATTTTTTCATAACAGTTCCGAAAGGCATGGGTTTTTTTCTTATCAGAGATGAGTTATCAAAACTGTAGTCATGTTGGAAAAACAGTTTCCAGTGCATAGTTTAAGTTTTTGGCAGTGGCACCGGGATCCTTAAGTTCTGAACCTCGCTATGTGGAAGTCGTGGTAAACATGAAAAAACCCGCAGACACACCGGGCGTTGGATTCAAATAAAACCGGTTGGAATCGAGTGCATTCAAAACACGTATGTGTTAAACCTGGCAGTTCCGACTGTATAACAGGAGTGACATGTTTAATCCTTATACAATATCACATTTATGTAAATAAGTCATACAGTACAAGTATGAAGTCCTATACAATTACATATATCGATATATCATCTGGATTAACATACAAGTACAAACCAAGTGCGATTATGTATATATTTTTCTAATCTACAGGAGCCAGGCACTCTGGTAAAGTTGTCGTCAACATAGCATTATGCATGAAAAAAACCTTTTCTCTCCCTCAATTTCTGCAAGTACCAGCACAAAGGCGTCCATGCATATTAATATGCTTGGCTGCTATATATGCTATATGGAAGCAATATTGCATACTAGAACACTGCTCGCTGAAACTTTTATTTTCAGTTTCTACATCATATAAACATCATGAAAATACCAGGGGTCATAAGTAATAATTATAATAATAATAATTCGAGGTTCTATTACAACCTAGTTTGTAGGCCGTCTCAAAGCGGTTCTCAAATTATAATCCGTGGCTATAGGGCCTTTGCAACTAGTCAATATCTTCTTCAACTCCCCAAGTAGTATACAGTCGGTATTGCCATTTCGGCGCTCACGGCTAGCATTCAACAAATCTAGCACTGCCCAAACACGTACTCATTTACAGCTGAGTAGACTGGAACAAGCAGAGTAAAGTATCTTGCTCAAAGATACAACACAGTGCCGTGACGGCACTCAAACCCGCGACCCTTCGGTCACGAGCCCGGCGTCCTACTACTCAACTACCGTGTCTCCAGTGAGCGTAACCTTTAGAATGTCCAGGACTTCATACAAATGATACAGAAAGAAGTGTATTGCAATGTAAAATACAAGTTATTATTATAACAAATGGCTAAAACTTTATAAAGAAAACATGGTAAACAATGTATTTGAGGATGCTTAAACGTAACGAGGTCAGTCTGTGACCTCATTTTATACAGTCACTATGACTGGTTTGCCGGTAGTTCATCAATGAAAGATATAACTTTTTCCAGACTGATATAATTCGATATCGCACTTTCAAATATATGATAAGTAAAAATAACCGATGACGTAGGAGTGTATTTACTGTTAAAATGACGTCATACCCATCGCTTCAAAAGCGTAAAAATTGAACACAATGCATCTCATAACATTTACAATATGTTTCAGTGTCTGTACAAGAATCTCTCCTGTAGAGAGGAGATCATTGCTCAAGTTATTTAAATCCCATTTTTAAAAACTTTTAAACCGTTAATGTTAAAAATAATGACCAAGTTAATAGATCTAGAACCATAGATCTTATTTCGAAGGAAGAAAACGATCATCGCTTACCAAGGGTTGCGAAACGCCGGTTACTATCATTTCCTCGATATAATGCGGATCTTGACCGTTGGTAAGCAAAAACCGAGGACTAGTAATATAATCATATCTACAGGAGATAAAAGAAAAGTTTTTTAAAAAAACGCACATATTATGACCCTGAAAATAGCTGATATTAAACACCTCCCATAAAATGACGTCCTAGTGTTCATCACTTCCGGCAATTGTGTCAATAGTGTTAATGTGTCTTAGAAGATCGAAACTCTTCAAATAAAATAAACAGAAAGTGATGCGATTTCTTCCTTACAAATAAAATCAATCCGGAGCCATCATTCCTCCAACCAAAAATATCACTTTTAACCCTTTCACCACTGTAGACCATAATAGACTTATCCAGATAAATGTATGGTAGAGTCTACTAATGTTACCTAGGGTTGTAAGGGTTAAGTAAAGTTCAACATCCAACCCAAGTTATGAGAACATTCTTTAACATAATGGAATTTCTGAAGCTTTTTTCTTGAGAAAACATCGCTGAGATGTAGTTTAATGTCTTAATTATTTCCTTAATTCAGGGAATGCTTTCCAAAGCAAAAACTTCCATAATTTCTCAAAGATAAGAAAAAAATGTGAAATCGGTATTTGGCACTTAAGTTAAGAATTATTGGTCAACATGGCCAAGATGCCCTGGGCCAAGACGCCAGAGTTCCGACTTCGGTTGTCCCAAGTGTGGTTGACCTCTTGATAGGGGAAGAAATGGCAGTTATTGAGGCCCTGTAGGGGCGCCTTGAAGGAGATTTGTCCTTCTTCTCGAACATCAAGTCCTGCAGCATATATGTCTCCCTTCCGTAGGGCCTCGTATAAGTCGGCGTAGTTGATAGTATGCCCTCTAGAAGCGTCAATCAAAATTGCACTGTTTTTCATGCGCTTGAAAGCGTCTTTATTAAATAGGTTCCAGGATTGTGTAGTCGGCTTACAACTCAAACACAAGATGTCGGATTCCTCTAGAAGCTTTTCAAATGAACAATATTCGGCACAAATTTCACCAGCAGCTGGTACCTCCGAAATGTCATTGTACATGATTCGGTTAACGCCCATGTAGCTTAGTCGCTTGGCAACAGCGTGACCCACATTACCAAATCCCACAATCCCCAGAGTCTTGCCTGGAAAAACCATGTGGTTCTGATTGGCGTCTGTAACCTCTGGAATAAGTTTTGTTGGAGAATCTGTTAAAGAAGGAAAGATAAACACTTATTTAAATTTTAGTTGCTTGGCCTATTATGTAGTACATATCAAGGCATTCTACACTTTCTGAATAGCTATAGACCTCTGAGATCATCAAAATCCGAGAATACAAAATATACAAAGTCAAAGTATATTACTGCACAACGTAACAAGCAATACAATGTATTCGTCAATGCAATTATTAATGTGATTGTTCTTCTCTTACCGACTCATTTCGAGTAATACCATACGCTGAAGTTCAGCTTGAGGGCCATGCAATACTAAAGCCCTTAACATCCTGTTACACACCCTATGTGTGTATGGAGTGAACAAAAATCTTGAAATCTTTAAAGGAGATGAATGATATTTTAGGTTTTTTATTCGTTCTAGTTAAAGTTCTTTATTGCCTTAGGTCTTTCGACTCATCGGTGTCAAAAGTGAGATATTTACATCCAATACAATACAATACTACACAAGTACTTTACATATCTTTGTATGACTTTGAATTCGTAAAGTGTACTTCTAAATCGGGAACCATCGGCACTTTCCGTAAACGAGAAAAGTATTTTCTCGTTTACGGAAAGTGTCGACGATTCTCGATTGTGTACCTCTGTGTTGAACTTGGTACTACAGTAATGTATGTGGGTTTTTTTCTTTTTTAGTTTACCACATGTTGTCAAGACAGGTTAGCACCATATATGCTCAACTAAACAGAGACCAAATTCCTGTTAACGTAAGAGAAAATCGATTACTTTGTAAGCACCTTCGTTGACGGGACAAGGTAAGCACGTACGGCATTGGAACAAAAATTGATTCTTGAACATTAGTCAATATATTTACACACGTTTCCCAACGAAGGGATTCGTTTTCTGTCTACACAGGAATCCTTTTGCTAATTAGTCTTTCATGTCGGATGTTTGATTTGAGCTATCAAATGGTCGGTTCTTCTGGATTAATTATGTTTGTGTTAATTAGACCATAGCTTCTGATTGCTATTCTCCGCATTACAAATTCTACTCCCTATTGATTCCCTCCCTCCCTGCCATCTAACGTCTGATGTTGTGCTTGATAAATAGCGAAAATGTTACCTATGTTATGTGTTTAAGAAAGTAACTTCTACCCGGAGCATGGTCTTTTTCAACTTCCAGGGCCCGTATTCATGAATTCATTCCCATGATCATACTCAGATTCTGTGTTCAAATTAATAAAGAATTCATAATTTGTCAATGATTGGAAAGAAATTTGAAGAAATTTGCACTCGAGCACTGTTTTTATTTTGTTATTTGATTTTTTTTACCGTGTCACATGATCAAAGCGAGTAACAAGAATACTTGCTTGAGCACAAAACGCATGCTTCAGCATGAAAATGGTTTCATGAATACGGGTCCTGAACTTTGAAAAACTACTGTATTCCATCGAATGATCGTACAAGATGACTAATGAGATACCCAGACATAACAATGGATACCTTCTTTGTCCTCTGTCAAGAGGAAAATTGCTTGACCAGAAGTCAGTAATTCCAACATTCGCTCCTAAAGTCACATATGAACCTTACCAAATCTAAGTCCGGTTGAAATATGAAGGGGTGAATGAGTTATTGCGGGGTGCTCTGGTGTCTCTTTATGCATCTCTGGTTAACCGGTTTTCATACTTTTGTGACTCTGTATAATGACGTGTTAAAGTCAGTAACAAATCAACCAATATGTTCGCAGTTTAAAGAGTCAAACGACTGACCCTAATCATGATATGCTGCCACTGTCTTACCCTGACCTTAGCTGTACCACAAACGCAACTCCTCTGAGCGTGAGCAGAGAACAAGTTCCTGTCATTCGGAACTTTCAAGTATGTTCGAGGCTTCATCAATGCCAATCGGGAACAATATTTCTCGTTTACGGAAAGTGCCAATGGTTCCCGATTGCATCGATGCTTGTCACGAACGCAGTTACGTGTTGGTGATATTGTATGTAAACGCCAATCAAGAAACAGAGCACATGTCATGTCAAAGACCTGTCCTGCCAGAAAATGACACCTGCTTTCAATTTATGATATATCAAAAATGACAATGAGATTATCTCCAATCTGATTAAAATCATATGTGACATGGCTTCGTTAACTTCGTACTACGCCTGAACATCTGAATGTTCCGCGGTCAGGGTCACGTTCAAGTGACCTCTAGATGAACCAATCAGAGGCGCGCTGGCAAAAGTTTGCCAGCGAATTGGAATGTCATGGCTGATTGATAAATAGCGAGGGGTATCGAACAGATTAGTTTTCCAAAACAAATATGGCGGCGGGAACTGACGTTTCTACGACGCCAAGGAAAACGTACCCATTGGTAATAATTCCGTAGGCAACACCGCCATACAGTCTTTCCTCTTTAATAAAGCTTCGCATATCTGTTTCTGTTCGTGTTTCAGACGATCAATCTCAAATAACTTAAGAACTTTCGCATCATTCTCATCAATGTCCGCCATATTTGTTACAACTCCGAGCGCCCTTTTGAAAGAGGGTATATCTGATTTGTCAAAATTTAATGAGTATTTATAAATATAAAGGTCACCTGACCCTGACCGCGGCACACTCAGATGTTCAGGCGGAGCCATGTAACAGATGATTTTAATCAGATTGGATTATCTTATGTGCTGTCAATTGGTATAGACATTAACGTACCTGATGACGTCGCTTGTAGCAGAATGGCGATGGTCAGGTCGACTACGGTTTCCATGGAGACCTTGGGTGGGGTTGCGATCTTGATACCCAGTCGATGACATTCTTCGGTGTCGATGTGCCCGAGATCCTCAGAAATTGTCCCGACGACTTTGAGATTGGGGCCTGAAATGTGGAAACAGTAGTACGTAATTTCTTGACATCAAAAACATGTAAATCGAGATTTATACAAGAACCATTAACAAAATTGTCCAAACACGAATCCCCTAAATCGAGCCTATGAAATTAGTTATAATCATTTGTGTGAAAGTAGTCCATTATGACCTAACATGTACTTATATTACACTGTACCAGTGTATGTAGATAGAACTAGGTATCGATCAATCATGTTTACCAGGGGTGTCTTGGTATAGAAACATCGGGTAACAAGAGGCCCAATGGGCCTGCATCGCTCACCTGTTATTAATCTAACACTTGTAATCTTAAGATTTCATAAGAACCTATTAAAAGATTTAAACATATGACGCCTCTGACCTTGATTGTCGAACAAGGACATTAGGTTGAAAGTGGATCAAGGTCATTCATTTGAACTAACATGGTAATCCTTCATCCCAGCATGCTACAGGCCCAAT